CACTCCTTTCCTCAAGGAGTAGAAGGGAGTCTCTCCTGGAGCTGGGAGCTGTGCTGCTGGAGTTGTAGGAGGACACCCCAAGTCCATAGGCTTTGAGCACAGCATAGCACTAGGATTTGCCAAGGAATTGCAGTCCTTGTGGCATATACTGCTTTTCAAGTTTATTTAGGACACCCATATCACTTTAACTCACCTCGACCTCCACATCCTGGGTTCAAGCAATTCTCCTGCCTCAGCTTCCCGAGTAGCTGAGATTACAGGTGCCCACCACCATGACCAGCTAATTTTTGCATTTTAGTAGAGACAGGGTTTCACCATGTTGGTCAGACTGGTCTCAAACTCCTGACCTTAAATGATCCAACTGCCTCAGCCTCCCAAAATGCTGGGATTACAAGCATAAGCCAACACTCCTGGCCTCATGAATCCTTCTTAAAATTGGAACTTCTTCATTTTGCCTAGGCTACTTAATTTGTTGGTGTACAATTGTTCATTGTAGTCTCTTATGTTCCATTTTATTTCTGTGTAATCAGTTGTAATATTTTATTCTTCATTTATGATTTATTTAAGTCTTTCCTTGTTTTGTGTAGTCTAAGACTTTGCCATTTTTGTTAATATTTTAAAAATAACCCAATATGATTAATTAAAAAAATATTTAATTCTAGTCTCTATTTTGTTTACTTCTGTGCTGATATTTATTATTTTCTTCCTTTGATTGAATTTTGGTTTTCATTGTCCTTCTTTTCCTAGTTTCTTGAGGGTAAAGTTAGATATTTGATTTGAGACTTTTCTTCTTTGTTAACCGAGGCATTTACCACTACAAATTTGTCTCTTAGTTAACTTTTGCTGCATCCCATATGCTTTGTATGTTGCATTCAATTATCCTCATACATTTTCTTTCAATTATCCCTATACATTTTCTATTTTTAGGTCTAAAATATTTCCAAATAAAAGTGTGAAAATAAATTAAATATATAAAGATATATTTGTGGGATATAAGATGTTGTCATTATATTGTTTGTAGAAAATTAATATTGCTTTTACACTATTAAAGGCTTTGATGTATTTTCTTTCTTTGGATTCAGTTTTAAAAAACTTGTAGTTTATGTTTGTAACTATCAAAATAATGCTCTATCTTATATTTCATGTGTGTGTGTGTGTGTGCGTGTGTGTGTGTGTCTGTGTGTGTGTGTGTAATTTCCAGCAGGTAATAATGCTCATTATATTTTTCAAATAACTACGTTAATGTCTTTGGTCAAACTCCATGATGGAAGTCTCCTTTCTCATCAGTTAAATGAGTTTGTGTGTGTAACTGAGTATGTGGGTATGCGGTGAATTGATGTTGACCATCCCCAGAGGTGTGCATAGAACACTTGAAATATGGTAAGTATAATGGAGGATCAGAAATATTATAAATCTACAACATAAAATATAAAATTTGTAGCACAATATTTGAATATAACATCTGTCAAGGAATAATTTCAGATAGATAAAGACAATATTAATTTCTATCATGGCTGATTGTACTCTATGTTAGGTCACAAGTTAGGATTTATTGGAATCTCAGAACAAGAGACTAAAGTTCCCATTCAAGTTTTATTCCACTGTATGATACATTTGCCTTTGTTTGTGCTCAGTTTTCTGAAGCAAATGCTTAGAAAAATGTCGTGGATATAGTTGTTGAATTTTTATTTATTTATTTATTTATTATTATTATACTTTAAGTTCTAGGGTACATGTGCATAACGTGCAGGTTTGTTACATATGTATACTTGTGCCATGTTGCTGTGCTGCACCCATCAACTTGTCAGCACCCATCAACTCGTCATTTACATCAGGTATAACTCCCAATGCAATCCCTCTCCCCTCCCCCCTCCCCATGATAGGCCCCGGTGTGTGATGTTCCCCTTCCCAAGTCCAAGTGATCTCATTGTTCAGTTCCCACCTATGAGTGAGAACATGTGGTGTTTGGTTTTCTGTTCTTGTGATAGTTTGCTAAGAATGATGGTTTCCAGCTGCATCCGTGTCCCTAAATTTTTCAGTGTGTTTGTGCAAGTGTTATGTATCATCACTAATTTATGAAGCTGTTTAGAGAAACAGAAGATGATGGATTTAGTATTTCTCTTATTTTTATATTAATTCATGTAAAGTTTTCAGGTTGTTTTTAATACCCAAAATATGACAATAATTTGGCTGACAGACACAATAGGAAAAAAAAAATCAAGTAAGAGTGTTTATTTTACACAGATAGAGAATTAATTATAGATGAGAACACAGTGCCATTCCCTATCAGTGAGCAAATTTTTCTCATTTTTAGTTGCCATCTGCTCAAGTAAAATCTAGTTTAAGTAATTATTCTATATTGTTTCAGTTGGAATTATTTTTAATATTTAAATACAAAAAGTGAACACTGGCTTCTGGTTTTCTTTACACACACACACACAATTCTAATAGACAAAATGTGCACAGGAAAGGAGCTCCTGTCCTGTCCTCCACAGTCCCATCCTGTGGCTGAAGCTCTTGTCAACCTCTCTCCTCTCCAATGTACATGGGGATTCATGGTTGCTGCTTTACATTACAGTTGTAATGAATTTTGTCTATTCCATATTGTGTGCATAGCCCTTCCCTACAGCTCTATTCTAAACAAATAAAAATAAATAAAACAGTCATTAGTGGCCAGCGGCACATCCCTCCCACTGTCATAAGTTCCTTCCCCACGATGGAAAAGTGAGATCTTCCACTTAGGAGCTATTTGGTGAAAGGAGTGGGTGGCCAGAGGTGGAATAACCATCTGCAAGGCTTCATTCTGTTACAAGAGTGAAGATAGGGGAAGTAAGTCGGTATAGTGTGGAGGGCACATTTGCAAGTTAAGTTTCTCCGTAAGACAATCTAGGGAGAATTCTCCCCAGGTTTAGGTAGACTAACATGCAAAAGTGAAAAAAAAAAAAAATTCAAAAAAATCAGCAGTTCAAACAACTTAATTTCAAACTTCTGCTACCAAGACAGCTCAAATACGGCAGTAATAATTGAAATCTTTCCAGGAAGTGGAGCTAGAGACCCTGGCATGCCTCCTGGCAGCCCGTGGCAGCCCTTAGAAGTATCTGCCTTTGTTGGCATTGCTGCTCTTGCTCCATTTGTAACTTCTCAGCCTCAAAGACAACATGAAAAACCAGGAATATAATGGAAGTAACCCCAGTCCACAAGGCTGCCCCAGAAAACCTGTGCATTTTTTGAGCCATAAGGAGGGAGATATCAAAAGTGGCTCTGACTGCAGACTGGGCCCTCTAGGCAATTATCTTGGTTAGGCCCCATGATCTCTTCTGCATGCTTTCATCTAGCTTCTCTTCATCATTCTCTTCCAGCTCCTACTTAGTCTTCTACACATTGCTTTTCAGGAGCAATTAGTTTGGGGACAGGGGTTCCACAGCAAAAGTGGCAGTGACAGTAGCAGCCATGGCTACTCTGTTATATTTTTTATGACACTAATTTCCTTATATACCTAAGTCCGTTTATATTCCTCTGACCACTCTCTAGTGTTTTGGACACACACATCTGTCTGACTACTTAGGTAATCGCCAGTATCAGTCTCAGGATTTCCTATGATTTATGGTATAAATTTACCAAGCTAATTTAATAAATTAATAATCAATTTTCCAGGTAGGCCATATTCATGGAAAAATAAAAACACATTTCAACTTGCTTGAGGTTACACTGGTATTTCCTCAAATAATATTTATTGATTATAGACCATTACTTTGCTAAGTATTTGTAATATAATAGGTAACAAGACAAAAATGTGAGTCATCAGAATTTTAGTCTTGCAGGAGAGAGACACACCACATTGAAATACCATCATGCTTTGTTTAATAACAGGAAAACATTCTCAGAAGTAAGTCCATAGGTGATTTTGTCACTGTGGGAAAATCATAGACTGCACGTATGCAAACTTAGATTGTATAGCCTACTAACACCTAGGCTAGGTGATATACCCAATTGCTTATAGGCTACAAACTTGTATAACCTGCTACTGTACTGAATACTGTAGGCAATTGTAACACAATGTTAAGTATGTGTATACCTGATCATATAAAAAACATACAAAAGGTGCAGTAAAAATACTGTACAATAGATTAAAAATGGTATAACTATGTAGGGCACCTACCATGAATGGGGCTTGAAGTATTGTAAGTTGCTCCAGGTAAGTCAGTGAGTGTTGAGCTAATGTGAAAGCCTAGAGCATTACTGTGCCCTACTGTAGTCTTTATAAACACTACACTTAGGCCATACTAAATTTATTTTAAAATATTTTTCTGCCTTCAGTAATAAATTAACCTGAGCTTAGTGTAACTTTTCTATTTGAAAATTTTTTTAATTTGTTTAACTTTTTGACTCTTACAATAACAGTTTCAAACACAAAAGCACTGCACAAAAATATTTTATTTTTTATCCTTATTCTGTAAGCTTTTATCTACTTAAACTTTCAAAATTTATTTTTAGTTTTTAAACTTTTCATTAAAAGCTAAAACACAAACACACGCATTACTTTAGGTCTACACAGGGTCAGAATCATCAATATCACTGTCTTCCGTCTCCACATGTTATCCTATTGGAAGGTTTTCAGAGACAGTATCACGTATAGAGCTCTCGTCGCTTAGAATAACGATATCTTCTTCTGGAATACCTCCTGAAAGACTTGCCTGATACTATTTACATTTACCTTTTTAAAATAAGAAGTACACTATATCATAACAAGAAAAGTATAATATAGTAAATACACAAGCCAGTAACATAGTCATTTATTATTTTTATCAATTACTATGTACTATATATAATTGTATATGCTATAATTTTATACAGCTGTCAGAGCAGTAGATTTGTTTACACCAATTTGCTTACTCACAGACAAACGAATAACGTGGGCCACTAAGACCTTACAACCATTATGACATCACTAGGCAACAGGAATTTTTCAGTTTCAATATAATCTTATGGGACCACATAGTATACGCAGTCTGTCTTGACTGAAATTTCTCTCTGCAGTTTATAACTGTACTCAATAAAATATAAATAACTATAAAATGTGAAGTGCTTATCAAGGGGATCTAACTGAGTCTTAGGGGAGTGGAATGGCTTCAATAAGGTATGCTTTTTTCAAAGGTGAGCAGAATTTAACCTTGTGGAAAAGAGTGGTTAGAGTTTGAAATGGAATGGTCTTCCAGATGTAGAAAAAGTCATTTCCACATGCTCTCTCATGGTTATTTTGGTGATTAGATGATGAGAGAGGTAGTAACATATTTAAGTAGCTTTTATTGGATTCAAGTAGGTGAGAAAATAAGGCTGTCTTGCACTTCCAAGAGTGAACAGCCAATAATATCACTCACTAGAGGTCTTTTATTTCTGCAAATGTTTTTCACCGAAGGTTGACCTCACATAGTTTTATAACAATGATTTGTAGTAAGACCTGTAGTATCCAAATTTAATTATTATCTCAAAGGACCAAATTTCAAGTAAAAAAATGGTCCCACATATTACAGGTCCAGGGAATCTAGGCAAAAGAGAGATCTCTATATTCAATTATTCATTTTCTGTGCGACAAATTTCTCTTTTTTTCCTTTATTTGTTCCTTCTTTGTTTTATTTTGTTTTGTTTTTAGAGTCAGGTGTCACTCTGTCTCCAGGCTAGAGTGCAGTGCTGTAATCAACCCTTGCACGCACTACAGCCTTAGACTGCTGGGCTCAAGCAATCCTCCCACCTTACCCTCCCAATTAGTTGGAATTATAAGCCTGAGCCACCGTGTGGAGCCTTAATAGATTTCTCTACCAAACACTTTCTAATTGCTATTTTCGCAGAAGGACTATCCCTGACATGATATGAACCGTCGTTTTTCAGGAAGCCTCTAAGAGCTGGCATGCACATTAATAGGATATATATATATAAAAATAATTAAAAAATCTTAAAGATGAAACAAAAAATGTTACTTCAATTTGTTTAAATATTTACTACGAATAAAATGGTGATTTCAGTGCAGACTGTCTTTCTTGAAGAATAGGGAGAGCACAGTATAACTAACTACAGTAACTATTGCTATTTATAACAGAGTTGAAAATTTAAGGGATGCCGATTTATTTACTATATTCAATAAACATATTTAAATGGTTGAATTTTCTGTCTAAGTCAAATTATACCTAATCATTTTCAGATAGGCCTCTTTGATTTATAATGGAATATTACTGATGTTTCAACACATAAATGTGAATCATTTTCTATGAAGAGAATAGAAAATTAACAGATACAGTAAATCATCTGCTGTACAAAATAAACATTATTTGAAAAAATTTCAAAGTAGAGGATCAGCAGAATTGTTTCAGGTTGTTTGGATATACAATTCCTATATAAGCATACATATAAGCATTCATATCAGGCAAAACTCTGCATATAGAAAAAAAAATCTCAACTTTTTATTTTACAATTTGCATTTCATGGTTTATTTTATGAGACAATAATTTGCACTTAAAAGACTAGATGTTACAGATTATTATTTAATTACTTTGCCTTGATAAATTAAGAGGCACTAAATTTCCTTTTGGAACAAATCTGAATCAAGCTCCATTGGCACTTCAGAAAAGAGAAGTGTTAAAATACGTATATCCTGGATCATGCTTTCCAAACTGTTTCAGAATAATAAATATTCAATTATTTTTTCGTGGGCTTTTTATTCTTATTTTCATTATTCATGTTTCTGCTCTGTTGCTTAGGCTGGAGTTCAGTGGCACAATAGTGGTTCACTGCACCCTCAAACTCCTGGGCTCCAGTCATCTTCTCACTTCAGCTTGCTGAGTAGCTGAGATTACAGGCATAGGCCACCATCCCTTTCAAATTTTTATGTATTTTGTAGAGGCAAGGTCTTGCTATGTTTCCCAGGCTGGTCTTGAACTCCTGCAATCAAGCTATCTTCCCACCTCACTCTCCCAAAGTGCTGGGATTATAGGCGTGAGTCTCCGCATCAAGCTATCTGTTTTTTTCTTTTCTTTTTTTTCACATGTCTACTTCCATTTGTGAGTTATTCTTCTTTAAAAATCAAGATTGCTTTAAAATGTATAATGATTGAAAAATATTTTTTGAAGTTATTTAATTTTTTTGTGTGACCACTAGAAATGTTAAATATAAAAATCCTATTAGGATGCCGACAACGGATATATCTAACACAGTTATGAAAGTTTTAGAAACTAGAAGGTATTTGTTTATTTTTGAATTATATTTTATGCTTTCAAAATGTCCAAGTGATCAATTTGCTTCCCTTTGATATATTTTGGTATCCATTAGTTATTCTATTATAAATTACCTTAAAATATAAAAATCGATACCTTTAAAGCATAGTAACTCTTAAAACCATTTTATAAGTAATTTGTATAGGTAATTTTATACTCCTTAGATTTATTTGAATACTTTCTTAAAGGAAAAGGAAAAAATACAGGTCATGAATTATCAGGCATAACAATGACATTAATTACAAAAGACTTGAAAAGTAAGTTTAATGTTCATTATTGCAAGAGATATCTTTACTGGGTTCAGGTAAATTATAATATATAGAAATTCAACTTTCATAAAAGACAATATACTAAAAATACTTTTGCTTATAATAATGTACTGTTTTGACATATCTAACCATCTGATTGTCCAGGTGGAAAACTGAGATTTCTTCCCTAATTTCATTACAATTTGCAATTCCCATATATATGAGATTGATCAAGGTAAGCTCAATCTTAATCTGTTGATCAAGTTAAACTCAGTTTATCAGATCTACAGTAATAAGGAAGACCATTCTCTTGACATAAGTGTAGTTAGTCTCAGAAGGGGAGAGCAGGGAGAAAGTTTATATGATTTTGCAATCCTGGCTCAAGTGATATAACACGTTATATAAGATGGGGATCTGACTATGATTAGGTAAAGTTGTTGGCATCATAGTTCAAATTGGTGAATATAACCAAATGAGAATCTGAAAATGAGTCTGGATAAGTAAATGGATTTATTGATAAGTGAGTTGTTTGTCCTAGTTAATAATCTATTGCTTTGAGGGAAGAGAACTTTGTCTAATAAAATTAATTTGCATAAAATTTCTGAAGAAAACAGTAAAGTTATTTCTTTCTTTGTAGCTTTATCTTCCTGGGCAGGAATTTCCTGGGACAGAGGTGAGTGATTTATGTGACCAAAGACACTCTTACTTTTCAGTGTATGGTTGGAGGTGTTCTCCCCCGTGGTCATATTTTAGCCTGAGAAAGAGTCAAAATCATTATTTCATAAGAGTGTGATGAATTCACAAGCTTCAAGGGGTCATTCTTAGCTCTGGAAGCATTGTGCTTTCTGTTCATTGACTACTTGATGGCTCATTTAATGAGATATTGGCTCTAAAATAACAGCAGTTTAGGCTTGGGATAGCATATATTTGAGCAATATGTATAAATAGTAGGAGAAAGATAGTAATAACAATACATACTTCACTTCTGAATCATGAGCCAAGAATGCACATATTAAACCAGGAGAAGAGATCTCATATCAAATAGCCTGAAAAATCTGATGTTTGGATATTTGCTGAATATTTTATGATTTGTTTCTTGACTATTTTATTTTTATTTTTATTTTTATATTATATTTCTTTTTATTGATTGATTGATTGATTATTATTATTATACTTTAAGTTCTAGGGTACATGTGCATAACGTGCAGGTTTGTTACATATGTATACTTGTGCCATGTTGCTGTGCTGCACCCATCAACTTGTCAGCACCCATCAACTCGTCTCTCACATCAGGTATAACTCCCCATGCAATCCTTCCCCCCTCCCCCCTCCCCATGATAGGCCCCGGTGTGTGATGTCCCCCTTCCCGAGTCCAAGTGATCTCATTGTTCAGTTCCCACCTATGAGTGAGAACATGCGGTGTTTGGTTTTCTGTTCTTGTGATAGTTTGCTAAGAATGATGGTTTCCAACTGCATCCATGTCCCTACAAAGGACACAAACTCATCCTTTTTGATGGCTGCATAGTATTCCATGGTGTATATGTGCCACATTTTCTTAATCCAGTCTGTCACTGATGGACATTTGGGTTGATTCCAAGTCTTTGCTATTGTGAATAGTGCCACAATAAACATACGTGTGCATGTGTCTTTATAGCAGCATGATTTAGAATCCTTTGGGTATATACCCAGTAATGGGATGGCTGGGTCATATGGTACATCTAGTTCTAGATCCTTGAGGAATCGCCATACTGTTTTCCATAATGGTTGAACTAGTTTACAATCCCACCAACAGTGTAAAAGTGTTCCTATTTCTCCACATCCTCTCCAGCACCTATTGTTTCCTGACTTTTTAATGATCGCCATTCTAACTGGTGTGGGATGGTATCTCATTGTGGTTTTGATTTGCATTTCTCTGATGGCCAGTGATGATGAGCATTTTTTCATGCATCTGTTGGCTGTATGAATGTCTTCTTTTGAGAAATGTCTGTTCATATCCTTTGCCCACTTTTTGATGGGGTTGTTTGTTTTTTTCTTGTAAATTTGTTGGAGTTCTTTGTAGGTTCTGGATATTAGCCCTTTGTCAGATGAGTAGATTGCAAAAATGTTCTCCCATTCTGTAGGTTGCCTGTTCACTCTGATGGTAGTTTCTTTTGCTGTGCAGAAGCTCTTTAGTTTAATTAGATCCCATTGGTCAATTTTGGCTTTTGCTGCTGTTGCTTTTGGTGTTTTAGACATGACGTCTTTTCCCATGCCTATGTCCTGAATGGTACTACCTAGGTTTTCCTCTAGGATTTTTATGGTATTAGGTCTAACATTTAAGTCTCTAATCCATCTTGAATTAATTTTCGTATAAGGAGTAAAGAAAGGATCCAGTTTCAGCTTTCTACTTATGGCTAGCCAATTATCCCAGCACCATTTATTAAATAGGGAATCCTTTCCCCATTTCTTGTTTCTCTCAGGTTTGTCAAAGATCAGATGGCTGTAGATGTGTGGTATTGTTTCTGAGGACTCGGTTCTGTTCCATTGGTCTATATCTCTGTTTTAGTACCAGTACCACTAGGGGCAGTCTTGACTATTTTAGAAATGTTAAAGATTGCAGAGCTATCTGAGTGATGTAAGTAAAAAAATTTTCCATAAGAAAACATGTGTTACCTCTTGAGACACCAGGATTATTTGCATAGCAACTCTATTAGAAACCATGACTTATACAATGTCATAGCCCTCTCAAGTGAGTAAGTCTTAGTGTGCGTAGAGCGCCTGCTATTCTCTGAAGCACATGATGCCTATTCCTCAATATTGTAGGCTGTTTTTAATTATGAAATAAGATGCTTGAGAATATAATCACATTCAAGGTTCTCCCTTGAATTAAGTTCTTATTCAAATTTCACTTTCTTCTTCAATTAATCTAACAACCACTTTTTCCATGAGACAAAAAAGAGGGGCCATAATACTCCCTTGGTCATATTAGGGACTATTGTTAAGACAGGCAGTTTTTTAAAAAGAGCCAATTCCTGTCCAGTGTTTGGTGTAATTAGCCAATAGGTATTTATGCTATAAATTCCACACCTGTCTTTGTGGACCACCCAATGGTGTGACTGTGGCCCAAACACCTCTCTAAGGTTGTTGAATCATATTGTAACTTTTTTTTGAAGTACTTATTGTGAGTGGTCTGGCACCAGATGATAAAATATTTAATATAGAAATAATTAGATACATTTTGAGCAAAAGAACTGAGTTGATCTAAATTGTATACTTACTTTAATGTCTGTAAAAGTAAGAATATTTTCAAATATACAACATATGTTTCATAGTTCTTTTCCAAGATTTATATCTATAAAACCACAGTGACAAAAAATAACTCCCACAGAAGTTTCCAAGTGTTATTTAGATGAATATAGGAACATGTTGTAGGTATGATGTGATAGAGTGTTTGGTTTTTGTGTGATCTTTCATACTATTTTTTTTTTGTCTAAATGTCTGTTAGGATTGATTGACTCCAAATAACCTGCAAATTAAATAATTTATTTTAAAAAACTGGCACCAGAGAAAGCTTTGTGGAGCTCAAGAAAACATGAGTGAAAAATCCAAAACTTTATTTGATTAAATATTTTTGCCAAATCTTAACTAAATTCAAATGTTATTGTACTCCTAACAAAGAATGAGAATACCAAGATCATTATTAAAAATAAAGTGTTATAGGCATTGTAGTATGATATAACAATCCAAAACCTTAAAGAAGCTATGAGAAAAGAAAATAAGTGTGTTATAAGGAACAAAATCTAGAAGAATAAGGTGTGAAAATATACAACTGTGGTCATTTTGATGTCCATTCCATGAAATTATTGTGAATTCTATCTACTTCAGGGAATTACATATTTTATTTGAAGCCTTGAATAAAAATTTATTTTAAAAATTCCCTTTTTCTGTAAAGCTTGAGATCTTCAGTCAGAACATGTGAATCCAAGAATCAATCTTTTGAAATTTCACTGCTCTATTAATTACTATTAACCAATAACATCCTTTCTATTTGGAGTTCAAGGGACACATTGCTTTGATTTCTCTTCCAAAAACCAGGTGTTCAAATTTTAAGTCATATAAGAGTTGCTTATAGGAAGTTAATGAAAGGTTGCTCACTCATGTTGATGATAAGACTGAATACATTGTTTGATTCCCTTGCAGTTTTTGGCCGTATTTCACTATAATAAGGTAGAATCTAGAAATGATGTCGCTATTTACAGATATCAGGTGATGTGATTTGGCTCTGTGTCCCCACCCAAATTTCACCTTGAATTGTAATAATCCCCATGTGTAAAGGGCAGGGCTAGGTAGAAATAACCGAATCATGGGGGCTGTTTCCCCCATACTACTCTCATGATAGTGAGTTCTCATAAGATCTGATGGTTTTATTAAAAGTTTCCTGCTTTGATTGGTTCTCATTTGTCTCTCCAGCTTCCCTGTGAAAAGGTGTCTTCCACCATGATTATAAGTTTCCTTAGGCCTACCCAGCCATGCGGAACTGTGAATCAATTAAACATTTTTTTTTTCATAAATTACCCATTCTCAGGTATTTCTTCATAGCAGCATGAGAACAGACTAATATACAGGGTATGATCCCTTGCTAACTTATAAGGGGAGAGATGATACTATTCTAAAGGAGTGGATCTCTTTGATGTTAGTCAATAAAATCATCTTAGTCCACATCAGTTTGAGGATCTCTGAGGGTTTTGCTAATTTTAGTTTCAGAATACCACTTATTTTATTCATCCTGAATATTGGAGATGGAACAGAGAGGGGATGTTCTCAACAGATGGCAAGTGTTTATAAACTATAGCTAAAATAAAATGGATGCCTTGTAGCTGCAGAGACAAGCTGGAATTTTCCAATCATGGCAGAAGGGGAAGGGGAAGCAAGTCACCTTCTTCACAAGGTGGCACGAAGGAGAAGTGGCTAGAGAAGTGGGAAGATCCCCTTATAAGACCATCATGTCTCATGAGAGCTCACTCAGTATCATAATATAGCATGAGGGGAGGTGTCCCCATGATACAATTGCCTCCACCTGGTCTCTCCCTTAACACGTAGGGATAATGGGGATTATGGGGATTATAATTCAAGATGAGCTTTGGGTGGGGAAACAAAGCCTAACTCTATCATTCTACACTGGCTTCTTCCAAATCTCATGTCCCTTATGTCAAAGTCAATCATGCATTCTAATCTGTCCTGCAAAGTCTTAATTCATTCCAGCATTAACCCAAATGTCCAGGTCCAAAGTCTCACCTGAGTCAAGGCAAATCTCTTCTGCCTATTAGAATGTGAAACCAAAATCAAGTTTATTACTTCCTAGATACAATGGGGGTATAAGCATTGAGTAAATACACCCATTGTAAATGGGATAACTTGGACAAAACAAAGGAGCTACAGGCCTCAGGCAAATTTGAAAGCCAATATGGTAGTCAAATGCTAAAGCTCTGAAACCGTCTCCTCCAACTCTGTGTCTCACATCCAGGTCATGTTGATGCAAGAGATGGGCTCCCACAGCCTTGGGTAGCTCCACCTCTGTGACTTTGCAGGGTACAGCCTCCCTCCTGACTGCTTTCAATTGGCTGCCATTGAGTGTCTTTCGCTTTTCTAGGTATATAGTGCAAGTTGTTGGTTGATCTAACATTCTGGAGTCTG